CTCCTGTATTCCTGCTAATGGGGAAGTTTGTTTTGCATTGCTGAGAATGATAGGTTATCTAAATGGATCTAAGACACAGAGAACCAGATGCTCTGGGAACCCCAGGATATAAAGGCTCCATGTGCAGTGAAGCTGTGGTTGAGGAATTTACAATGAATTTGCTTCCCTTGGATTTCCCATCACTCAGGGCGCATACCATGGTAGGATCTATGTGGACACAGAACAAAGAACTGCACAGACCACTGTCAGCCTCCTCTCTGACTGGCAGCAATGAGGGTTTCTCTGCTCAGCTGGGAATCTATTCCTAAAAGGCTACAACTTCCCCATATGTAATCCTCTATTTATAAAGCACTTCCTTTGAAGTTTGTCAATAACCACAATTAAACAAGGAAGATTCTTAGAGTACAGTAGAGACACAAGTAAGCCAGAGTCCAAGATCTGGAGAAAGAACTGAAGCTCAACTCAAGAATAGCTATGTGAGAAGTAGGGAAGAATTGGCTTTTGAGCATAGTGTAAGAGGCAAGTGGGGTGAGGAAACTGAGAAGTCCTCATTCAGAAATGCAGAGCAGAATCATGGAGGTGTCCTGTATGAGAAACAGAAGGATGTGGGAGGGGGTCTTGATGTCATTTCAGAGCTGAACCCTCATCTCTCAGCCTCCACTCCAACACCTGTTCTTAAAGAAGTTCCCAGGCTCCAGCTGCCCCCTGCAGGGCAGCAGCTACTGTGAGATTTCCCCTTCTAGTGATGACAGGAGGAAGTTCATGTGCCTCAAAGGCAATGGGCTGCTGATGGCTAGAGTGAACTATGTCCAGACCCCAGCCTAACTCTGGTACACTTGATGACCAGGCAGGGAATGAGCAGGAGTTCAGGATTCAGGCTTGGTTTCTGCTGATTCCTGTCTGGGATGCTCTTTATATTCTTGCTAGGACATAGGAAGGAGTCTTGAGACCATGTCCATATAAGGTGTTCACTGGTATCTGAGCAGAAGAAAAAAAATTCATATGCATCTACAAACAAAACCAATGAAACACTGCATAGAGTCATTTTTTCTGATTCTGATCAGAAAACGAAGCAGGCTCACACTTTCATTTCCAAGGAAATGTTCTCATTGAATGCAAGCATCCTCAGGATGAAGCCTCAGTCCTGCTTCCTCCCCAAGGTCAGAGCAGAGAGAAGAAGAGAAGCAAGGCTGTGACTCCATGTCCAGAAGTCAACTCCTGAGGGAGGCTTTATATTCAGAGAGAGCTTGTTTGGTGCCTTACTCTGCCTGCATTGCCATGAAGAACATAAATATCTTAGTCTGGACAGATAAATCAGCATATTTTTTAAAAACAAAATTCTGAAGGTTGCAAAGTCAGGAGCTATCATTTTATTTGGTCTTTCTAACTGTTCAACTTCTTGCAACATCCTGAGGCCTTGATACCTTTAACAGACACAGAGACAGAGACAGAGACAGAGACAGAGACAGACACAGAGACAGAGACAGAGACAGAGCAACCCAATGCCTCATCTCCTAATGGTATTAGTACTATGGGTTTTGCTACAGCTCCATTGACCTCACATGACCTCACACACTTCTTAAAGGCCTCTTTTCCAAGGACACATATCTCTGGGTAACATGAATCAATCCTTAAAAGATGGCCTGTGCTGAGAAAGAAAGCAAGAAATAGAGGCAGGCCCAGCTTCCAGTCTCTAAATCCCAAAGACAGAAGACTTTTCCCCACAATTCAGCCTGCAGGCAGCTCCTCCTGAATGTCCCTTATCATAGTCAAATGCCCAAGCTCAGAGCCTCTTCATTGATTATAGAACACTAATTCTATGGCTTCCTTATGATTGCTAAACAGCATTTTTGTTTATTGTGTGGTTTCTCTACTATCTAGTGGTATTTTTTCAATATTATATCTTATGAAACCAGGATTTTTAAAGGAAAAATTAATTATGTATTACATTTTAAATGTCTTTTTATCCTTTTCTATAGATTAAATTCAGATTGCTTGATTGGGGTTTGTGTGTGTATGTGTGTGTGTGTGTGTGTGTGTGTGTGTTCCTGTGTTTATGGAAGTACTGGATGTCAAAGTCTAGGTGCTGCCCTAAGCTTTTTTGCTCTAGGCTGTTGCTCTACCTCTTGATAACTCCACTTAAACATTTTTTGCTGGTAAATCAGAGACAGGGTCTCATAGTTTTTCCTTCCTAAGTATTTGTACTCTGATCTCAGATCTTATCCTCTCATCCTTAGATTTCAGTAGTATCTGGATTAGATTGCATATTTTTTTGAGAAAAGTAATACAGAAAGAATACTGTCAGTATTCCACATCAGGAGTTACATAATTCTAACCTATCTTATTTTCTCTGGCAGTAATAACTAGGAAAATGAAAATGTTTTAGGCAATATATATCTGGCATCATGGCAGCAGCTTTCATTATTTTTTGTATTTGGTTTGTTCACAGTTTATTAAGAATATTCTATTCCTATTGGAGTCTGTTCCTTCTGTCTGTATTTTAGGTTGTCCTCTTCTTCCTCAGTGATTCTATACTCAAAGTTTTAGTCCTGTGTATTACATTATAGAGAGCTGTGGCTTCAAACTGAATTAATATTGCTTTGTTTAACCTGAGAAATGTTAGTGAGATAAAATTCCACGTTTTTCAGTAGTATGTGTAAGTGTGTGTGTGAGAGAGAAAGAGACAGAGAGAAAGAGAGTATGTCTGTGATTTGCCAGTAGGAAGTTGAAGAAGAGACCTAGGAAGTCCACAAAGTTGAAGACAGAAAAATGAGAGATAAAAGCTGCACAGAGATCCCAGAATTTCTTCAAGTCACCCCTGGGATTCTACCAATATGAATCACTAACTGCATGTGGAGAGCTGAAGTGATAGAGGAAAATCTAACTCTATTTGTTGCACAACAGTTGCATGTATGGAGAACCAGTGGCTCCCCTGGGCTTGTCTGACTTGAGTCATGATGTCTTACAGCGTTGCTTGTGTTGGCTTCCTGAAGTCAGTGTGCTGGGGAAGTATGATAATTCGACAAAAAAGAACCTGTTGCTCTTCATGTGGGTTGTTCACTGTGTTTCGTTATAGATGTCAAGTGCCTTCAGCTCCAATGGGCTTATGAGATATGTTTTTGACAAAAACTATTGAATTCTTAAATCAAAGGTTCTGGAAACCACGCTAAGAGTGGAGCTGTAGGGGGAACCCCAGCTGTCTGAGGCTCTGTACTCACTTGCCTCCTGCAGAGAAGAACTACCCCTCTCATCCTGCTCCAGAAATACTGTACCCAGACACCAGTGTTCACAACCCATCTGCTGTCCTGCAGCTGTCCTGTGCGCTTTATATCCACATCTCACCCTCCGGAGGTTAAATCTATGAATTCAAGAAGTTTTTCTACACCTTCTGCTTAATTATTTTTCTTTACTAATAGTTATTTTTGCCCATTTAAACAGTCTCTTAAAAAATCTACCTCAACATATTGTTGGCTGACAAGTTACCAAAGTTTCCACTACAAATAAGAGCTGTCCCTTTCAACTAAGTAATAGTGATTCCAAATGCTCTCAGTTCAGCATCCATCTTCTATCATTGTCAAAGTAAGCTAGAACATGTTATAAAGATGGGTTAACTTTCCATTGCTGTGACTAAGATCTTACTGAAAGCAACTTGAAGGGCAGAATTCTTTACTTCAATCTTACATTAGAAATTGTAGTCTGCCATGTAAGCACAGTGTAGTGGAGTTCACATCATGACCCCCAAAAATAAGAGTGGATATTCTACTTCCTCCTCCCTCCCCTTTTCTTGCAGAAGAGACACCAGCCTATTGGAAGGGGCTGTGGACAATGGTGTTCAACTTTCTCTCTTAGTCAATTGTCTCTAGAGAAGCTTTCACAGACAGGTGCAGAAGTGTACTTAACCCACAAGTAATCCAACCAATGCGACAATGCAGAATAACCACCTGAGAAGTCATCAAAATTACTTCTGTTTTCTTAAAACTTTCATGAAAATGATAAGTGTAGAAAAAGTATTTAGCAGTGTATATATGTTTACTCAAAAGTCTCCATGTTCTGCATTTTTACATCTCTTTCTCTATAAAAGGCTCTGGAAAAACTAGACTACCTTTCATCAGATCCCTCATAATGTGTGTGTGTGTTTGTGTGTGTGTGTGTGTGTGTGTGTGTGTGTGTGTGTGTGTGTGTGTGTGAATGTGTATCTGCACATGATGTATTTTTCTCTGAATATTTATACATATACATATATGTGTAGTAATAAATAAATATTTGTGCATGTTTTTAAAATATATGTTCCATAGAGAAACATACCCATATATGTATGAATATGCCACCTATTAACTGGGCAACACTGTGAGCCACCTGCTCCCCACTATTCATTTAAAATCCTAGCTACTCAGGAACCTGAGATCTGAGGCTCTCAGTTCAAAACCAACTTGGGCAGGAAAGTCCATGAGACTCTATCTCCAGCTATAATCACTGGAATACCAGAAGAGAAACTGTGATGCAAAGTGGTAGAGACCTAGCCTTGAACAAAATAGCTCAGGGGCAGTGTTCAGGCCCTGAGTTCAAGCCCTAAGACCAACAAAAATGCATGAATAGCTGATGAATATAAGTGCTTGGAATTGTATGCCAAAAAGGTTTAGGGTGCTTGGGTGCCGGTGGCTCATATCTGTAATTTTAGCTACTAAGAGAGCTGAAATCTGAGGATCATGATTCAAAGCCAGCCATGGCAGGAAAGTCTGTGAGATTCTTATCTCCAATAAACCACCAAAAAACTGGATATGATACCATGGCTCAAGTGTAGAGCACTAGCCTTGAGCTGAAGATCTGAGGGACAACACCCAGACCCAGAGTTCAATCCTAAAGAACGACCAAAAACAAAGTTTTGGGGTGGTTCACTGTACTCTATTTTTGTTAAAAACCAGTTGATTAACTATGGATCTTTATAGAAACAACTGGGCAGGAATGAGAAAAACATTTACAAGATATATTAACAAATATAATACATTTTAGTTTATTTATTGAAATATCTGAGGAACACAGCCCTAATAGTACCCATATTGTAGTATTATATAATATAATGTAATGTATGGTAATATATGAATAGAGCAACAAAAAGGAGACATTTCATCCACTGCTACTGAATTGGGAAGGAGTCCCAGATTTCAAACTAGTTGCAAAATAAATCAGGAGCTTGGGGGCATTTCCTGGTTTCTGCTGGTACCAATGTAAATAATTCCCAATGCCCTGACTGGCCCTGCAAGTCATGGAGACTCTCTCTCCAAGAGATGCAGACATGGATGGCAACTGGGTCAACTGAACATCACATTTGGCACCTGAAAATGGAAACATAAAATCCATTAGCCACTTAGTAAATTATGCTTTCCAAGAAGAGCCAACTAATCCTTAGCATTGTCCATCCTTACCTGGGAGCCAGAGCATCAGAAGCCCCAGGAGTTGAGCAGGGTTCCTCATGTTCATGCTGTGTGCTGACTGGAACATTCTACTGCACAGTGTGTAAGCAGCTTATCAAGTCCTTGGGCTGTGCTCTGGGGAATATGCAAATCAGCAGGGGCTGGGCCAACTGCAGGGTGTCAGATCTCAGTGACCAAATAGAGACTTAAGGACACCATGTGGCAAATTTGCCTCTATACAGGTTCCTCTCTGATAATGGGAAAAAGATTGATTCTTTTTCATTTAAATATAAGTAAATGATATCACATTAAAACTGGGAGAAGTAAACCAAAAACCAGTCCGTTACTTCACATGGCACTGAGTAGCTGTTACTTAAGTTGCAAACTCTACAGCTAGCTACATGACAGATGACTATGATGTTTGTTCCCTTGTCAAAAGTTTAATTGTTATTAGGCTGGTCTTATATCCTTCTTTTTTGGACACCCCCTACTTAGCCCATGTGTGGCCAGCTCAAGGCTCCCCCTAGTGGCACAGCTGCTGTTGCTTGATGACTTACCCATTCTCTCTGGAGTCCCATGGGTAGTTCAAATGGCAGCATTCACTTAGGGCAGGGGAAACTGCAGAGGGAGCTTCTGGCCAGACATAGCCACCCTGTGATCCTGGGGCTATGGGCTTAACTGAAACTTCACATTATTGCTTTGTTGCACGCTGGACACTGCCAGGTACCTGCTGCTTGACGTCAGTTTAAATAAGGGACTTCAAGACTAGAAAGGATGGCTGTTTTCAGTTTATTGCATGAAGGAGTTATATTAGTCCAAGTTAAAAGCGGACCCCAAATGGTTACATTATGCAAGCTGTGAGGTTTTTAAACTTGTGACAAGGGAAAGGAGGAAATTCTACTCATTGCAAGGAAATCCTCATTTAAGCTTTAGTGAGCCATAACTACTTAAAACCCATGAACCTTCAACTGATCGTCCTTAGCCTCTCCAAGCTCTACCAGGAACTGGCATATGTTCTTGTGCTGGTCACCCTGTAGCTGAATTACTTCTCCATATTCTGGATGTTTAATTACAGTACCATTGCAGGCAAATTTCTTCTTAAACACCTTCACAAGTTTCTTTTTTATCATAATCATCAGCGATCCTTTGGACAGTAGTAAGGGTCTTCCTGCCATTTCTCTATTGAATTTTTTATTTTTCTTTTTTTAAATAAGTTTTTATTGTGAAAATACTGTACAAAGGGGTTACAATTACATGAGCAAGGTAATGAGTACATTTCTTATCAAGCATTGTTGCCTCCTCCTCTTTTTTCCCCTTCCATCCCTTCCCTCCAATCTCCACAACGATGCTCCTCCCCCCAATAGCGTCTTGTACATCTCATTGTGCAATGGTCCACCTGTATCCCTACTTAAACAATTTGTTTTTTTTTCCCTTCTGCTTCCCAAATTATAAAAACATCAAATACACTGAAAACAGGGGTTATACCATGGAGAAGGGTCATACAAAGCAAAAAAAAAAAAAAACAAAACTCGTGGTACTTCATAAATACATTACAAAAAATAGTAAGAAAGAAAAAAAACACAGATATAATCCTGGGAGAGAGCATGAAGCAGGTCATCACCCTTACTTGCATCAGCAAAGGGATCAAAAGGGTGAAGGTTCTGAATAGCAGACAAAGGATAAGAAACATAATGTTGAGAAACATAATGTTGATGTTCAATAAATCACTGAAAAACCTAGGAAGTATAATCCCATTTTTACAAACTTAGAAGATGCATTATTTGTATTTATGTCACCCTAAAGAAAAAACAAAGAAGATGCTAATATTATTATTCTGAACAAGCTTTCTTAAAGGGAGAAATCCAGACTGCAATGTTACTGAAAATGTTATTTCTTAGGCCAGGTAGTCAGTAACTGATATTCAATTTATTATTTGTTAGTAAATAATATATCTATATCTAAGATTCTCATTTGTCTATAGTGTATAATCAATAAATATTTAAATAGCGTTCTAATTTATTATGAAATGATGTTTTGGCTATCATTTACTGGTAAAGATGACCTATAGTAAACACTAAACTTATGTGTGACAACAAAGAATAAGGGTTCTGATAAATACAGAAATCCCTCAGACTTTTTGGTACATATTTAAATTAGCTTTGTGTTATGGAGCTGAAAGGTGTGCCAGGGAGTGAATCTTTTCTCTTCTGACTGCAGGAAAGTATTCATTTTCTGTCTAGATTGAGATTGGCACCCTTTGGATGGGAAAGCATGGGAGGACAGCATTCCTTCTCCATTCCCTTAAGTGGTGTGTTCCCACGGGCTACTTGAAATCCTCTTATTTACCTTCTGGTTGCAATCAACTTGTCCTTGTGAGTAAGAAGGTTTGAAGAATTTTTGTGTATGTAAGATGATGAGTTCATAGTTATTGGAAGAAAAGTTGAGATAGAGCATGTAAGGATTTTGTCCTTTAGACATCCTTTAGAATCTGTGAAGAATCCTATAAACACGAAACATTAATCTAAGGAATACACCAGGTTAGGATGAATAGTAAGACCAATGTTCAAACTCTGAGGACAGAGAGAACTCTAGATCTTAAATTGTTGATAATGTTGACTACATTCTTCAGCAAACATAAGAATTCTTACAGAAAGCCAAGTATGGTGGCCCATATATGTAACTTCAAGTAAATACTCCCAGGAGGAGGCAACAATGCTTGATAAGAAATGTACTCATTACCTAGCCCATGTAATTGTAACCCCTGTGTATGGTATTTTCACAATTAAAAAAAAAGAAAGAAACAACATGAGGAATTACCCCCCCCCAAAAAGAAAGAAAATACTCCAGAAAAGAGACCAGAAAAGAGAGAAATAGAGACAATGAAATAGAAGAAGTGGTTAATTTGGAATATGATTTCTCTTGTTAGTAAGGATTTTGAACAAATAAACTATGGGAAATGATTATTTTCAAAGAAATTTTCTAACAATAGAAATGTGGAGGATGGAGAATGAGTAATTTCAGAGCAAGAGAGTTAAAAATGTGATCCTAAATTTTTCCTACTAAATGTAGTTTTTTGATAACATATTTCAAGTTTGGGATATAGATAAATAGATAGATACCCATATATATACATATATATATATGTGTATATATATATACATATATATGTATATATATACATATATATACATATATATACATATATATATATGTATATATATGGACAAGACAAATGGCCACTGGCTTCAGTTGGATTGGTGCAGAAATGATCAGCAGTTCTCTAAACAATTATCCAATCTGAGAAATGAAAACTCACATCAGATGATGAAAGACATTGAGGAACTCTCTCCCATGGACCCAAGCTGCTTCCTACTAAACCAGAAAGAAGCTAAGATCAGAACACACTCTAACAGCAGGGAAGGTTAGGAGATCAGTGTTGATGTTCCACACCTGTGGGACCAGTCTACAGGAGGCCAACTCACCTGGTTCCAAAGCTCAAGTTTAACCTGGTCTTCCCAGTGGGACCCTGTCAGTGAAACCAAGCAAGCAAATAAAATGGTTCCCACCAAGCCAGAAGTCTCACAACCCTACAAAGAACCAAGAAAGAGGAAGGAAAAGCTGGGAAAAGACATTTACCTGTACACACACACACACACACACACACACATACATATATATATATACATGCAATATATGTATATTTTATAGGTTTCTGCATATGTATTTGAACATATATGTATATATGCATACATATATACACAATTGAAAATATACTTATATATACACTTATCTCTAGAAGACCAATAGCCACTGGCTTCAGTTAGATTAGTTCAAGCGTGAGCAGCAATTCCCTAAACAATTATCCAACCTGGGAATTGCCAACACACATCAGGTGATGGAGGAGATCAAGGCACTCTCTCCCATCTACCCAACCTGCTTCCTACCATAACAGAAGCAACAAGCTCAGATCAAAACACACCCTAATCACAGGCATAGGAGCTCAGTATTGATGGTCCACACCTGTGCTCAGCCTAAGGCGGCAGAATCACCAGGTTCCAAAGCACCAGTCCAACTTGGTCTTCCCAGTGTGACCTTGTCTCTGAAACAAAGCAAGCAAACAAAATAATTCCTTAGCCAGCCAGCAGCCCACAACCCCAAAAGGAACAACAAAAGAGGAAGGAAAGACTGAGAAAAGATACTGGCCAGTACAGATTTGCATATATATGTATATATATATGTATAAACTATAAATAATTATATATAAATATATATGCTTGTGTATATATATGTATCTATATATGTTTGCACATATACATAGGTTAAAATACACACATAGACACATATATACATATTTATTCATTCATTTATATAGTTATTAAACTTGACCCGGCAAATGGCCATTGCCTTTAGTTGGATTGGTGCAGGTGGGATCAGCGATTCCCTCAGCAAGTGTCCAATCCCGGAAGTGCCAACGCACATCAGGTGATGAAGGACACTGAGCTCAAATCAGCGACAATAGCCCTGGAGTTTGTGAAGCAACTAAAAAAGTATGTCTAGGGTTATGGGTTATCTTTAAAGATGGAAAATACAGGACCAGATAGAGAGGATCCTGTAAACAGGATGGAGACAAAGGGAGTGTTAGTGGAAGTTGCCAGTTGCACCATCCCCTGGTCCCCCAGGTTAGAGGAGTAGTGGGGGATCTCTTGATACAGTAGTTGCAGACAAGAAGGGCAGAGCAGACACTTGGCCTTGGGAGTTGTAGGGAGGGGACTTGTGGAAGGTCAGGCAAGGTGCATCTTGGGAGACCCCCTGCTAGGATGTAAGGGTGGGACAGGCACGAGACAGGGAGGGGCTTACAGGAGGAACTGTGGGAAGAGGTGGGGCAGTAAGAGTTTATATAAAGCAGGCAGCTGGTGGGCAGGGTCACTCTGGACTCCACTGCCGAGAGGACCAGGAGGAAGCCTACGTGCCTCACAGCGACTGACCAGAAGAGGAGTCCCAGAGCGCGGTGAGTGACCCACGGCATTCAGGAAGCCAGGTGAGTGTCCTGGGCATCTCTGTAGACATAGACGGGGTTGGCAGAAGGATGGAGGCAGCCCAGTGGGAGTGCAGAGCTGTGAGGCAGATTCAGGAGCG